TACACCCAAGCTCCTAAAGTTTCTACTACCTCCCGATAGTGCTACCAACTAGGGACCAAACCTTCAAGGAACATAGCCTTTGAGAGACACTAATCCAAAATATAACACTCTCCATCTCCAGAATCTTCACTGAGTCATATTTGCAGAGTCCCTTTTGCCACATAACATATTCGTAGGTTCTGGGGACCAGGATATGAATATCTGGTGTGTGGGGGGGGCATTAATCTGCCTACCACAAAGGAATTGACTATATGTACTCTAAATAAATTATTTATTTACCTACAAATATTCAAAAGAAAAGTTATAAGGTGGGTCAGGCATGGTAGTGCATGCCCATAATCCCAGTGGCTCAGGAGGCTAAGGCAGGAGGATTGAGAGTTCAAAGCCAGCCTCAGCAACTTAGCAAGGTCCTTAGCAACTCAACCAGACCCTGTCTCTAAATAAAATATAAAAAGGGGCTAGGGATGTGGCTCAGTGGTTAAGTGACCCTGGGTTTAATTCCTGGTACCCACAAAAAAGTTATATGGTAAGGGAAACAAAAGATTCACAAAATCCAACTTTTTCCATACTACAACATGTCTCCATTTTTAACATTCCATATCATGCTTTTAAGTACCCAGAAGCAGAGATGTTATGAAGGAAGATGGAGAAAATAAACAGAGTGGCTACTGAGGGCCAAACTTTGATGTAGTCAGTCAGAAGACAAAGGGGACATGAGGACCAGAAGGCATAAATTTCTTGGAAAAGATTGATACTTTTCCTAGAAACACAGATTTATGTCCTTCATAATGTTTGATAACTGATAATATTATCTGTGTATCAGTTTATACAAGAAAAATCAGATTGCCTTGCAAGAGATGGTAAAAGTCACTATGAAAGAACCATACTTATTCTTATTTTAGCCAAGAACTAATATGAAAAACGTGTGGCCAATATGAAAGGAATCTGGTACTGTCAGAGACTCGACAAATTGGATTCTTTGTAAGTGATGCACAGTTCAGCTCAATTTCTGATATCAACTGTCTTCCAAATCATCACTGTATAAAACATCTGTTTCTGTGAGATTAGCACAACCTAACAGAACCGTGCCTAGCCCAAAGGAAATAAGCAATGGTAAAAATCAATTCTAATACTATTTATGGGAAGGAATTCAGATAAACCCTAGCCTGATTCATGAAAAATGGTTCTGGGCTCCCTTAACAGGGTTTCCCTTGGGACACAGGCATTTTGTTGGTATCAGGGATGGGATGGTAGCAGTATGTACTTCTATTTCTATCCAATTAATCTGGTAATGATACAACCAAGTTGACATTAAATCAGACTCCAAAGTGTATGCCAAAAGCCAAACATAACCCAGATATCCATGTCAAATCCCTTTACCATGAGTAACAAAAATCATCAAAATATTATAAACAAAACATGTCAAGGATCCAGCCAATGCTCTTCACAGTTCAAGGAATATTTGATGCAACAAATCATCCAAATAAAATAAATTTAGACAGTCCTTGGAGTTTGTGGTGGAATTTGACCTGGAAAAGTGGTAAAAAAATAAGTAAATAAATAAAAGACAAAGGGTAACCTTGAGTTGAATGACATCATAATAAAATTTGTACAGCATAAGGTTATATCCAGTGTGTCTGACTTCAAGCAGCTGAGATCATCAAATCTGCAAATAATAATTACTTTATAATACTTGAATTAATTAGACAAGTACTAGATAGTAAAGTACTAGATAGTACTAGATAGTAAAGTCTCAAACATTGAATTTGTCACCTAATTCAATGGAAGCATGGATGTGTGGGTGCATATGAGGGAGGGAGAGAGAGAGAGAGAGAGAGAGGAGAGAGAGAGAGAGAGAAAGAAACAGTGAGCACACATAAGAAATAAGAGAGAGGGAGAGAGACTGAAAAAGATGGAACTCACTAACTAGAAGTAATGTCTTAGTTTTCTTGCTTCAATCCCTCTAAAAATGTGTTTGTAAACAAATCTTAGGTTTAAAATTCATAATGACAAGAAAATACCAACACAGACTTGCAAATGGGCATATACCCATTCTCTCATGAGGCAATACAGGGGTGACAGCTAAGAGCAGAGCCAAAATGAACATGAATTATATACGTTCTGCTGATGGGGTCATTGAGAAACTGTAATACTGCTGATAGAAAGTAGAGCTGCCAGGCCAGGTGTGGTGGTGCACACCTGTAATCCCAGCAGCTTGGGAGGCTGAGGCAAGAGGATCACAAGTTCAAAGCCAGCCTCAGCAAGTTAGCCAGGAACTAAGCAACTTAGTAAGATCCTGTCTCAAAATAAAATACAAAATAGGGTTGGGGATGTGGCTCAGTGGTTGACTGAGTACTCCTGAGTTAAATCCCTGGTACCTCCCCGCCAAAAAAGAAAGTAAAGCTGCCATTTTTTACTGTGATCTCACAATGTTTTTTAAAATTAAACATGTACATACCTGTGACTATCCCTGGAAACCTGTCCCATTAAAATAAATCCCCATATGGGAAGACAAATGTAAAAGGATGTTTACTGCAGACTAGTTTGCAGTAGTCAGGTGCTAGGAACAAAGTGAATGCCCACTGATAAGAAATAGCTAAATGCATCATTGTAAGCCCACAATGTAGAACATCACTGCTAAAAGGATCCACATGAGTAAATTAGGAAAGATTTCCACAAGGTATTGTTCAGTCAAAAAAAAAAAAAAAGTATAACGTGATTTCATTTGAGTAAAGCAATGACAAAATAACTCTATATATGTGTATATCTGCATGCACACATATATTTTTTTTTGAAGGTTTGAAATTTTTATTGTCTACAATTCACAAAGCACTAAAGAAGCCATGGAACAGAAAGGAAACTGCCCCCAACCTTGTACAAAATCATTGTAATGAAAATCTCTCTTAAAATATTAAGTATAAGATTAAAACTCCATTGTGTATATATACACACTTCCTTTACCCATTTGTTGGTGGAAAACCTACACTGGTTTCATAGTTTGACTATTGTGAATTGGGCTGCTATAAATATGGGCATGCATGTATCACTCACTGTACTATGATGACTTCAGTTCTTTGGGATAAATACAGAGGAGTGGTGTAGCTGGATCATGTGGTGGCTTTATTCCTAGTATTTCTTAGAAAACTCCATACTAATTTTCATAGTGCTTGTACTAATTTGCGATCCCATCAACAGTGTATAAGTGTTCCTTTTTTCCCACATCCTCTCCATCATTTATTGTTATTTGTATTCATTTTAGCTGCCACCTAACTGGAATGAGAAGAAAACTCAGTGTAGTTTTTATTTACATTTTCCTAGTTGTTAAAATTTTTTCATACATTTGTTGGCCACCTGTATTTCTTCTTTTGAAAAGTGTGTGTTTAGTTCATTTGCCTCTTTATTGACTGAGTTGTTTTGTGGTAAGTTTTTTGAGTTCTTTATATATTCTGGATATTTTCTCCAAGGTATGTTTTTGTCAAGGATCAAATGACTGTATCTGTGTATGCTTGTCTCTGTGTCTTCTGTTCTGCACCATTGGTTTGTTATTAATGTAGAAAATAAGTGTGGTGATAAATACAGCAAGATTTCATTCCAGGATAGATCTGGGCTATAGAGAGAGAAAGGGCATTACTATAAGTGGATAAAGGACAAAAACGATTGAAGGGAAGAAAATATCAAAAGTAAAAGCAAGGACTGGGGATGTAAGTCAGTTGGTAGAGTGCTTGCCTCGCATGCACAAGGCCCTGGGTTCAATCCCCAGCACCAGAAAAAAAAAAAAAAAGTTGAGAACATGGGAGGAGAGGAATAGATGAACTCTAGATAGGGCAGAGGGGTTGGAGGGGAAGGGAGGGGGCATGGAATTATTAATGATGGTGGAATGTGATGATCATTATTATCCAAAGTACAGGTATGAAGACACGAATTGGTGTGAATATACTTTGTATACAACCAGATATGAAAAATTGTGCTCTAGGGGCTGGGGATGTGGCTCAAGTGGTAACGCACTCGCCTGGCATGCACAGGGGGCTGGGTTCGATCCTCAGCACCACATACAAATAAAATAAAGATGTTGTGTCCACCGAAAACTAAAAAATAAATATTAAAAAAATTCTCTCTCTGTCTTTTAAAAAAATTGTGCTCTATATGTGTAATAAGAATTTTAATGCATTCCACTGTCATATAAATAAAAAAATAGATTTTTTTTAAAGGTAGAAGCAAAAAATACTATACACAACAGTTAAAGCACATAAGCTCTTACACTTACTATCATAAAACTCATGTATAGTGTGCATTTAAATTTGATGAACAATGACCTTGAGTGTAACCTTTTGCTTTTCTTTGTTTTTGCAGTTTTGGGGATGGAACTCAGGGCCTTGCACGTGCTAGGCAAGTACTCTGCCATGGAACTACACTCCCAGCCCTAGCCATTTTTAAAAATAAAATTGACCTTAAATACTTGAGAGTGTTCTAATGATTCTTTGGATTTAAATGTCATCTCAAAGATTAGCCATACCTATATCAAGCAAAACCTGCGTTGCAATCAAGTATGCATTTGTTCTTAAGTAACAAAGTTCAGAATTTGCCTCCAAAAATATTGTGAGTTAATAGGGGCCAGAAACTCAGGAAACATGGGTAATTTACTTGCCCTACCTCATCCATTAAGTCTTGACACGGCCTTGACCAAGTTTCAAATGTGCCTTGGTGTCCACACTTGTAAATTGAGAGATATGACCCAGAAGGTCAGGCCCCAACATTCTATAAATTCTTCCTGCTTTTCTTAACTTGAAAGGTCCCAACATTTGCTAATTTAAACATCATTAAACATCAATAAATTTCATAGGATTTTGTGCTGAGGTTTATAAAGAACAGCATTCCAGAGAAAGTAGACTCTTGTTTTCTTTCTCTCTTCTCTCTCTCTCTCTCTCTCTCTCTCTCTCTCTCTCTCTCTCTCTTTCTTTCTTTTCCTTAACAAGATTACTAAACCTCAGAACCCATCATACCTTCAGGAATAGGTTGGGAATGCTTTGCTCCTTGGTCCAATTTGAAGTCCAAATATAAGGTTGGTGTGCGAGTGTAAACCTTGGACTGAAAAGAGAAAGGAAACCATCAGCATTTTTCTAAGAATAAGGTCCCTGGGGATGGAACCCAGGGACTCATACATACTAGGCAAGTGCTCTACCACTGAGCCACACCCCAGCAGAATAAGGGGCCCTTCTGTAATAGGTCCAGGCTCAGATTTATTACATCTATGGTTCCTCCTAGGGAGGTGCTATTAAGGCAGAGTGGGCTGTTATATGCTCCTCTTAAGGGTCTTGGTCTAGAAGTTAGCCCTCTTAGCTTTACGAGCTAATTGTAAAGAATAACAGATGTCTCCCTACAGCCACTTCTCAAATATGGCCCAATGTGTATGTACGTGTGTATTTTTATATTACACACACACACACACACACACACATGCATATATATAAAACTTTTTTTATACTGGGGACTGAACCCAGGGATGCTTAACCACTGAGCCATAAGCCACATCCCCAGACCTTTTTATTTTTTATTTTGAGAGAGGGCCTTGCTAAGTTGCTTAGGGCCTCACTAAGTTGGTGAGGCTGGCCTCAAACTTGCAATCCTCCTGCCTCAGCTTCTCAAGTGCTGGGATTACAGGCGTGTGCCACTATGCCTGACCCCAATGTTAATATTTTACTGGCTAACAGTTACTCCACATTTCTCACTTTTAATCTTCCACTTGATATAGTAATTTATCTCACATCCAAATGTATGTTTCTTCCCCAGGACTCCATAAAGCCATTTCCATTTTGAAATTCGAAAAAGTGGCTTATATATATTATTTTTTCTCATTTGGCTCTTTTGCCCAAAAAGTTAGTCTGCTACTACTGGCTTGTAAAAGCCCCAACTCCAAATATAAGAAAGGCAAAGTTTTGGAGAATTTTTCATTGTAAATGGTGTCTTTGATTCCATCAACAATTAAGTAGAGTTTGTGATTCAATATAATGCCATACAGAATCATTGGTGCAGACCAAAATATAAGGGGATTAGCACTTTTGCTATAAACTTTATGATGTCTCATTACTTATCACAAAGCCTAGTGGCTCTAGTTTATCTTTCTTTTTTTTTCTTTTTCTTTCTTTCTTTTTTTTTTTTGTAACTTAAAAAGTCATACAAAAATTAGGGGCTGGGGTTGTGGCTCAGTGGTAGAGTGCTCACCTAGCATGCATAAGGCACTGAGTTCGATCCTCAGCACCACATTAAAAAAAATAAAGATATTGTGTCCACCTAAAACTAAAAATAAATAAAAAAGAAATTCACACAAAAATGAGTTAGCTTGTCAAGGATGTGGAGTAACTGGAATGTTCATACACTGCTAATGCAGTATAATTTGGTACAAACACTTTGGAAAACTGCTTAGTGGTATATAGTTGGGATGAATATATGCATAACCTTTGACTGAACAATCCAACTCACAGGTGTATACCCAATTTAAATATTCACCTAAAGACATGTACAAGGATTTTAATAGCAGCACTGTGGATAATAGACACAAACTGAAAATATCCCATATGTCTGTAACAACAGAATGGATAAATGAATTGTAATGCACTTATACAGTGAAATACTATAGAGCAGGGAGGATAATAAACCTAACTACCTGGAACAAATCAGAGCAATCTCACAAGCAAAATATTGAGCAAATGAAGCAAGCAGCATGTGATTTCATTCCTGTAAGGTTCAGAACAAGATGGAATTAACTTATGGTGTCAGAAGTCAGAAAAGCGTCTACCTTAGGAAAGTTAGTAACTGGATGGAGTTTAAAAAACGGGGTTTGGGGGCCACTGGAAACATTCTGCTTCTTGATCTGGCTGCTGGTTTCATTGGTGCGGTCACTTGGTGAAGAAAATTCTCTGAGATGTACACTTGATGTGTGTACTTTTCTGTGTTTATATTTTAATAAAAAAAAACTTACTTTAAAATGCATTTATAGGGCTGGGGTTGTAGCTCAGTGAATGAATGCTTGCCTCTCATGCGTGAGGCACTGGGTTTGATTCTCAGCACCATACAAAAATAAATAAATAAATAAATAATAAAGATATTGTGTCCAACTACAACTAAAAAAAATAAAAATAAAAAAATGCATTCATAGCCAGGCACGTTGGCCCACACCTGTAATCCCAGCGGCTTGGGAGGCTGAGACAGGAGGATCACAAGTTCAAAGCCAGCCTCAGCAACTCAGGGAGGCAGTAAGCAACTCATCCAGACCCTGACTCTAAAAAAAAATATAAAAAAGGGTTGCGGATGTGGCACAGTGGTTATGAAGCCAGAATTAGACAGGCAGTCAGCGTAGATAGGTAAATCGAGTCAGGTCGAGTCAGGTCGGGTTAAGGAAGCCAATTTTAAATGAGTCTGGGAAGCTGGAGACTGTCCCCTGAGGGATCTTATCCAGAACCTGCCCCTGCTCCAACCTGTTGCCAAGGTAACCCATCCCAGGAATTTCCCCTCCCTACAGGGAGCTGTAAGGCTGTTAATTAATGTGTCCTGGGCTGCTGCATCCTGCCCTTCCCCCTTCAGCCCACCTGTTTTCCACCTTTTGGCTACCCCACAGAGCATCCCCTGGGCTTAGTCACATATGCAGGAAGGAGAAAGATAAGGGGGAAAGGCAGGAGAACACAGGAAGCCTAGGACATATAAAAAGGGCAGAACACCTCCCCTCTTGGGATACCAGGATACCAACTATAGCCCCCTTCTCCCTCTCGGGAGAAATCTATGTTACCCCTTTTTATTTTATTTTATTGCTTTATTTTTTTTTATTGGTTATTCAAAACACTACAAAAGTCTTGACATATCATGTTTCATACATTCGATTCAAGTGGGTTATAAACCCTGCTTCATATGCTTCTCTAATGTTCAAACTTCAACATGTGGGGAAGCAGGACTCCTCACTGATAACTGGCAGTATCATATAAGCACCCCTGGGTTCAATCCTCAGTACCCAAAAAAGAAAAATATATATATTTATAGCTGAGCACAGAGGTACATGCCTGTAATCCAGTGGCTCCAGAGGCTGAGAAGGAGGATCTGGAGTTCAAAGCCAGCCTCAGCAATTTAGAGAGTCTCTAAGCAACTCAGTGAGACCCTGTCTCTAAATAAAATACCCAATGGGCTGGGGATGTGGCTCAGTGGTTGAGTGCCCTGGGTTCAATCCCTGATACCAAAAAAAAAAAAAGAAAAGAAAAGAAAAGAAAGCATTTATACATACACAAAAAGAGAATACAGAACCCAGAATTATTTACCACTGTTGATAAGGACATAATTTTGCAGAGAATAATTATATAAGTTCCATGACAACAAGGACATTTATGCCTTTATCACTGAATTCTCAGGGGCAATTTATCTGTCACGTTGTAGGTATTCAACAAATATTTATATTTTATTTATTTGGTGCTAGGAATTGAACCCAGGGGGTGCTTAACCATTGAGCTACATCCTTAGCCCCTTTTTATTTTTTATTTTGAAACAGGGTCCCACTAAGTTGCATAGAACTCACTAAGTTGCTGAGGTTGGCTTTGAACTAGTGATCCTTCTGCCTCAGCTTCCTGAGCTCCTGGGATTACAGATGTGCACCACTGCACCCAGATTCAATAAATATTTATCAAATGATGTTTCACAATGGAAAATCCCATGTATAGTAATATATTTTTGACAGTATATCTAGGATATTCATCAATATCTTTATCTATATGTAGCAAAATGCCACTCTTCAGGACAAGTGAATTTAGTATGGTCTGTACATTAAATTAGAATTATAAATTATAATAAGTAATGTTGATTATCAGTAGACCTTTTTCCTTTCTTATGTCACCTATCAAGGCTTTTTAAAATGGTCTGGTAGCAAATTCTACTCCATGGTTGTGTAATTATGTCAAAATGAATCCAAATGCTATCTCTAACTAAAATGAACTAATAAAAATAAAATAAATAAAATGGTCTAATGGGGTTTTACATGGCTTAGAAGGTCACGCTGCACTGGTACAGCTTCAAAGACTGGCAAGGCAAATTCCCCTGTGCATACATAAATGAAACCAGAAAGACCTGTGACATCAAGTGCAACCCAGGGCCAAAGATTCACAATCAATCTGAAGAGCTTGAAGCATACATAAAACAAGGGCAGCTCACAAGGGACACAGGATCTAGGATCATTAGGTGATTAGGTGTGCATGGCACCATCTGGAAAGAGACTGGTGGTTGTTTTTTTTTTTTTTTTTTTTTTCCTGGTGAAGACGTCTAAAGTTACCTCTGAAAAGATCCAAGGTAAACTTTACATAATATCAAATGACTCTTCAACTTGGGCAATATTAACTTTCAAACAAAGGATGCCTGTTTGGTTTAAGCATCTTTATCAATCTCTGCCCCAATGGCAGATGCATGTCTTTACCTACAGCAAAGAGATTAATCACAGAGAGGTTCTTGGCTGATTATTTACTAGTATTCTCTCAGAATATGGAAAAAAAAAATAACCTTGAACTGAAATCAGCAGTCTTTGATATTGCTTCCCCTGCTGACTAACAAAGTTTAGTTCATTCATCTGAAAACTTTGTAGGGACACTTGCTGATGTTTAAGTCTACTTCTGGGTTTGAAGTTCTGGGTCAGAAAATTAACGTTTTTCCTTCATACTTTAATTTGTAAAAATTCTCTTTTAATTTCTCAGACTGGAGTTACTGAGAAGTGAGACTGTAGCTGGGGTGAGGGAGGACAACTAGGACAGTAGGGAGCTAGTGGGGGGCCACTGGTTAACTCCCTCTGTTTTGCCCTCAGCTTTAGCCATAAATCTTGCCCTCCTGGGCTGGCTATTTTTCTTCTTTTATTCCTGCCTTTAGCTTCTCAAAGGAAGCCACATTATCTCAAAACTAGTAATCTAACTAAGACTACACAAATAAATGCAGACACACACACCCAACCATGCACACATAGAGCATTCTGTTTTCATTTTATGCATTCATTTGAAAATTTTAAATGAAAATCAAGGACTTTGTTTGTTTGTTTGTTTGTTGTTGTTGTTTAGTACTAGGGAACTTTC